CACTCAGACATGAATGGTAAGTAGTTATGCTAGGGCAAGCCCAGGGTGTTAGGATAATAGCTACACTCAAAGCTTATTATATGCATCCCCTCTGCTAAGTCCTTTGCCCATATTAACTCATCTTCACATCAGTCTTCCTATCCCCATATCACTCATGTGGAAACTGAGGCCCAGAGGGAGTAACTAACTTGCTCCAAGGTCACTCAGCTGGAGACAGGGAAAGTTGGGACGCTGTCCCAGGCAGTAAAGTTCTGAAACTCCTAAGAGAAGCCCCCAGTGGGGGCACCTGACTTGGAAGGATCAGGGGAGGTTTCCAAAAGCAGCTGAGAATCCAAGGATGAGGACTTAGCGAGGGAAGGTGTGATAATGATGCACCAGGCAAGATTCTGGGAAGGAAACAACTAAGCCAAAGAGAACACCCAGCCCTGGTTCTCCATTTGTTAAATCTTATCTTGCACAGAAAAATATTTACTTTTTTCCTAAGACTTTGCTCCTGTTTATGTTTCTTATATTTAATTGTGGATAAAAGCTTTCACATTTTCCTCCCTTCCCAGTCATGACAGCCAATTTCAAAGCTTAGTTAGTTTCTGAAAGTTTGTTCCCATCCCTTAGACTGTAAATTTCTTGAATCTGGGAGTTACATGTTTCTTTCTCTCCCACAGTACCTAGCACAGTGCCTTAATAGATAATCAGTTAAATAAATGAATAAACAAAGTAAAAGAATGATTTAACTTCAGAAACATAGAACAGCTACATCTAAAAGTGCCCATTGCCTTATCCTTATTTCCTGAACTTACAGGGCTATCTTACTTTCATCAAACTTAAAATTATATTTATAATGGACATTTGTGTAATTATTATTAACCTTCTGTAATCCCTCAAATCAAATATGTATTTTTTCTTTTTCTTTTTCCTTTTTCAATCTGATAAGAACTAGGAAAAAAATCTTCAGGAATAAAAAGGCACACAGTTCTGCCCTCACTGGTGTGGCTCACTGGGTAGAGCATCGCCTGAGAAATGAGGGGTCGCTGGTTAGATTCCCAATCATGGCATGTGCCTGGGTTGCAGGCCAGGTCCCAGGCGTGGAGCATGCAAGAGGTAACCCATCAATGTTTCTTTTCTCTTGCACATGGATGTTTCTCTCCCTCTTTCTCTCTCTCTTCCCCTCTCTCTAAAAAAATAAATAAAATCTTTTTTAAAAAAGGGGGCTCACAGTTCTTATCAAATGTTCAGAGGGTAGATTTTAAATGGTCTAGGCTGCTTATCTAGGGGGAAATGTTCTGTAAATCTCTGCACTGCAAACAGGGGTTCTTAGCTCTGTCCACATTTTAGAATTTCTAGCTTTTAAAACATAATCCATGTCTGGGCACCAAGAGACTGATTTCATTGGTCTGAGAGGGCGGTCTGGGTATCAACCTTATTTTTGGGCTCCCCACATAATTCTTCTAATGTGCCACCTTCATGGTGAACCACTTGGTCAGAGCAGTATCACTTTTTTACAAGGGTGCTAGTAAAATGACAAGGATTGCTTGCAAGGGTGAGAAAGTCCTCAGCCCTTAGAGTGGGGCCAGCACAGAGGCAGAAGATCTCCCTTGACAATGCTCTCTCACTGGTCCCTTGACATCTCCCAGCACCGAGGGAAGACCCAGAGCAATTGGACCCGAGGGGAGAGGTAGGAAATGCTTGTGAATGCAATCTGGCCTCACAGGACTTCACCCACAACCTCCCAACCACAGGCGACAAAATGATGTGGTTTTCATTACATAGCTGCAAGCATGAACCTTTGTATACAGTGGTCAAAAAGAAGAGAAAGAAAACTATTTTCAGCATTAGCAGTGAGGAAGGGATGATCTTTTCCCTCTATTCCAGACAGGAAGAGAAAGTTATCGGGTTCCCAGGGGAGAGCTGGGGGTTGGGGCAGCAGCCACTTTGCTGGAGGGGAAGTAAAAGAGACTCCTGCCAAGTTGGCCAGGAGCAGCTTCTTGCCATTCTTGGGTGTTCTCACCAGGCTGGAGAAAAGTGGTTAAATAAGCAAAAGGGGGTATTCTCCTTCCCATCAGGCCTGTGTGCAGCTAGGGATGATCAACAGCAGGGTCTGAACTTGGCATCTATGTGAATGCCCACAAAAACTGTATACACAATTTGAGTGTGTGTGTTTTTCTAAGGAAAACGGGTTCTGTTTTTCATCAGCTTCCTAAAGATTAAGGATGACAACTGGCCCTGAGCAACATCCGCTCTAAGCTGAACACCTATTTGTCACCCACACACCCTGCCCTGTCAGATCTGTCCAACTGAAGGTAGCAGGGCTGGGCCACAGCGAATTACAAGAGTAGATGGTATTCATCCTCCATGCTGAGCCTCAGGGTTACCTGCGCACAGCTGATTGTCACCAGCTTTGTCCTCAACCCCCATTCAGGGCTCTCCTTCCCTGTCCAAGCACAGGGGCCCCTTGGTCTCTCTACACTTCTGTTCTTCCCTCCTGCCTTGTTCTCCCAGACCTGAATCCCTTTTTCTCTGTCTCTATCCAGATCCATCATTGTACCCTTGCTCTCCAAGGTTAAGAAACAATGATGTCAGTTTTCTGAGGTCCTCCCCAGCCTTCTGGCTCCTAGTTACCATGATGACTTGTGGCGCTCGGGATTGTCGGCTGAACTTCCAAGGTGGTGGGCAAAGGGGCAGAGCCCAGGTCAGCTTTTCCTCCCTGGAAACAGAGGCCAGGCCTTGGACTTAATTGCCTATTAACCAATACATATTTCAGAAAACCCATAAGGAAGACACATTGTTTTAGAGAAAACACTGACTTTGATGCTACACTATGACAAAAATAAGAGACAACTACCTAACTAGTGTTAGATTTGGGAAAGAAGAAATCCTAATTACTTTTATTTATACAAGCAATTTATTGTGTGTGCCTAATTCCCACATGGCATAATAATGGTGCACGGATCATTAAGTAGGTCAGTTTCCTTTCATTTCAAAGCTGAACTCTATTCAGGTATGTCAGTCAGTCTTGAAAGTTTGCTGATCCCGTGGCAGGGCTGTCTGCTTTCAATTTAGAGGGAAAAATCATTAGAGGAGAATGTTGGCCTAGACATGGAAGCCAGGGACAGGAGAGGAGCCTGCTAGGCCAGGGCCCTCTGCATCCTTCTTGACTCACTGTGTGACCTTAGGCAGGTCAGTTCACCTCTCTGGGCTTCCTCCTTTCCTCCCCAGAGGAGGGAACGCTGGGGGCTGGTTTTCAATTTTTTTCTTTAAGCAATAGCTCCATTCCTTTTTGTCCAAATGAAACATATATGAAACCCCAAAATACAAAGCAAGTGAACGAAAAGCTACCTAAGGCTGTCTCTGAGGTATCTTCACAAAGCCCTGGGTTCCTGGCTCTCCCTATGATCTACAACATTGTAAGAATCGGGGTAGGACTGCCAAGTATTCCCATGCAACTCTCACAGCTTTAGAGGGAGGGTCCAGCATAGCACCCACATCGTTGAAGGTGGCATCTCAGGAGAACTGATACAGAAACCTGAAGGCCCCTGCAAAAACAGGTGCAGGGAACATTCATTCTGAATTCCTGAGGGTAGTGTTAAAATGTATACTTGAGCTCTCGCACCTTCAAAAAAGAAAAGAAACCCTCAGTCCAAGCCGTTTGATTTCAAACTTACCTCTCCAAGATTGTTGGAGATAAATGGATTGATTCAGTTATAGCTCACTTTCAAAAGAGGCAGTTTTGAAACCTGTGGTCCCCCAAGCTCTAAAATACTAAGCCATTTATCCTAATGACACAGCAGGCTCTGAACTCTAGAATACCACAGGAATATCACACCACTGCAAATTACTAGGTGGTGCTCAATCTCTAAAAAAAAAAAAACAAAAAAAACCACCAAAAAAACGGAACTGAAACAAAAGCCTTACATTGTTTTTGAGGTGCACATCTGATATGAGCTAATCACATCATTTTTGAGATTGCTTTCCTGGAGGCAGAATTATTCTGCACAGTTAAGCAGCTCTTCAGTTGCCCCTTTTGTTGTACCTATGTATAAACACACAGCCCATATAGTGGACAATTTTCTCTCTCACTGAAGTTTCTAAAGACAAGGCCTTTTTGTCATGGTTAAATGCAGGGCCAGTCAACCTTGATAAAGGAGTCATTTAATGCTCAATTTTCCCAACATTCCTATGATTAAACACCTCAAACTTCAAATGCTGTTATTGTATTTTACATTATTTTCATTCCCCTCCCCCAACAAATGTTTAAATTGTCTCTACTCTGCAGGATTCCCTCTTTTTTTTCCCCAATTTGACCTTGAAAACAGAGACCCTCTCCTTTTCTTTTACATGCCTTAACGAAACTATTTTAAAATCGAGGCCCTCTGACTTTTTAACAACACTCTTCTTGTCTGACACACTAAATGCTGACCTGAAAGCCAAACGGAGGTAAAGGGTCTGGGGGGCTGGGAAGAGGAAGGAGGGAGGTACTATATATTTGGCATCAGTTCAGAAATTCAGAAAATGTTTGTGCAACCACTCCCCCCGCCGGGATCCACCGCACCCCCTGCCTTCCAGCACATTAATAAAAAAAGATGTGAGCGATGAAATTGGAGAGCCCGGGAGGAACACCCAAGGTGGTCATAGCTGTGAATGCAGCAAAGCCCATTGATCATCATCTCACAGGTCCAGCCCTCATCCCTCCTTTCTGATATCCGAAGTTTGCGATCAAGACCTCTCCAGCTACCAACCTCACGTCCCAGAAATAGCCAGTTAAACAGGAGCAGCACCGCCCATTAACGGCTTCTGTGACACAAACGGAAGGATTGACACCACCTCTGCCCATCGGGGTGGCAGCGCTGTGCACCTTAAGAATCATATTGTTCTTAAAAAAAAAAAAGTAAAATGAGCACACAGGCCTGGAATACATTAACTTGTGAATTGAATCTAACTCACCCCAGAAGAGTCCATATCTCCCTCAAACAAAAAGAACGGAGTAAAAGGCAAAGGCACATTACCATCTTGTCCTGAGCTTTCCAGATATTCGGTCAGGTCACAGCCAAAGGCACTGGTGGCTCCCTTTCGTTTCAGCTTCTGCTTGGCACCCTTGTTCTTCATGAGTTAGTCCCAAAGAGGTTGCCCCTCCGTGTCCCCCTCCCCTCTGCTTGGCACCACGCCGAAGATTGTCTCCGGTGTTAGATCACCCGCTGCAGCGCGGATCCAGGGGTCCGCATGGGCGTCCAGAAGAAGTTGGGCCCGGGGCAGTGCGCACGGACCCCGCGGGGCGGCGCGGAGCCTGAAATCCGCCGCGCGCTCCTCCAGGGCCGCGGTGCTGGAGGCCGTGCAGAGCTGGCAGCTGCGGGCCGGCTCGCCTGGGAGTGTCACTTCCTCACTTGGAGTCCTAGGGACTTTCACAGACTCCTGCGGTGTCTTCGGCTGTTTCCCTCTGCTGGGGAGGGAGGGCGAGCTTCGCTTTCCGCCTTTCTGGACGCCCAGGGCGAGCGCGGGGAACGCGGCGGCCGCGCGGGGCGAGGAGACAGCGCGGGGCTGCGTGGGTCCTCTTCCCGGCGCCCGCTGTCTTGCCTTCAGACGGCTTCGGTAAAACGAAAAGCAAGCATCCTGTCTCTCTCGCCCGCCCTCACGCCTTCCTTTTTTTCCTGTCTTACAAATCCTAGGATCATCCAGCTCAGGAAATGCTGGAAGGAAGTTAGCGAGGGAGGGGGGCGGAGGGTGGAAATTTTTGGCAGCTCTGTGCTTGTGTGAGTACGGAGCGGAGGAAGTAGGTGGGTGGGTTGAGGAGTGCGGGGTGGGGGAGAGAACGCGCTCCTCGCCGAGTTGCTCGGCGACTCTGGAGATAGCTGGGCAGCTCGGAGTTAGGAGGAAACCGCGGCTCTCCGAGGAGGACCCGCCGCCCGAGCTGCCGCCTTCCTGCGCCACCAACTGCGCTTTGAAGAGGCAGGAGGAGGCGCGCGGGCATTCTGGATGGCGGGGGCTAGGTGGGACTGTAAAAAGTTCTGCCTTGTTTTCATCCTTCTAGTCACCATTTCTTAGACACTTTCTATTTCGGTGTCTACCCTCTCCCACAGAAACCCTTAAAAGAGTAATGACAGAAACAAAGGCAAGGATTTCAGCGGAGAAACTTGACAGGGCACGGTTTCCACAGGCCACTCTTATCCTCCTCTCCGCGCCCAGGTACCCCCAACCCAGCTAGCGCCCCTCCCACGTGAGGGAAGGATCTGGTCACAGATTCAAGTACCCATACTCGCACACAGTGCATTGTTGCAGTTTGCTAAATGGAAGTGATGGGGTGGGGGGAAGAATCCGGGAGTTAAGGTGACTCTGATACTCTGATCTAGCATAGTGTGGAGAAAGCAGTCTCCCAGGTTGTTTCATAATTTGTCTCAAGTTTTCAGGAGGGCATGTTTTTTCTTCCCCAGTTAGGTTTGAAATTCCTTGACTTCTGTGTACTCAGCACATAGTAAGCACTGAAGTTCTTGTGATTTAACCATTTGAGGTTTAGATTAAACTTCCTGTTTTAATTCAAATACATATGTAGACTTGAAGGGTAGGGACATTCATACAGCTCAGATTGCTGGCAAAAGCTTTATGTAAGTATTTTAGTCACTGAATACCTTTACAGTCACTTATCTCCCTCTGTATCATCAAAGCAGCTTATGAACTTTCACCCTTAACCTCATCTCTTTGTCAGAGGTCACAATTGATAGCCTGCCTGTAGAATCTGGCCCACAGATGTGTTTGGTTTGGCACATGCCATGTTTTAAAATTTTTTAAAAATTAATTGCCAACATTAAAGAGTTAAGAGCTTTCACATAAGAGAGCTAGATTTCTGGCTTCTCTTGCAAAAATAGAAGATCCAGTAACACTGAAAGTGCACTCCCACATGGCAAGGACTCTGATGCCAAGTTGTATCAGCCCCCTTGGAGGCAACCTCTTTAGAGAGGTGAGTCTTCCAGCCTCGCAGCCCCTGTGGCCTGTCCAACCCTCTTTGCACCTGCCTGGCCTCTGAAGCCACTTGAGTTCTCTGTACAAGCTCTGTGTATGGTGTCGCCTTCCTTCCATTTTCCAGCTGTCTCTCAGTGACATCACCACATTGCCCCAATCTTGGTGAGACATCTTCAAGTAACCACTGACTCATTTCTCTCTTTCCGCCTCCAACCTCCAGGCTAGCTCTGCCCAGAGCCATGAGTTCTTCAAAATTCCTCTCCTCTGGATTTCTTCCTTTCAAGGTCCAGTCAGTGACATTGTTCAATCCTAAATTACTGGAATAACTTCTAGTGAAGTTTGGCGAGTCTGGTCTCTTCCCACTCCATCCACCCTATGGATTAGAGGCCTGATGAATCTTTCTGTAGTATTGCTGCTGTTAAGTGCCTGTTTTTCTCAAAACTGTCAGTGATTCCCTCTTTCCTACTGCCAGGACAGCAATTTTTAAGCATTTTGTAAGCTACCTGGAGAATATCAGTAGCATATTTAGTGTAATGGTTTGTTCCCCCTTTTATTTATAGGAAAGCATCTCCACATGTGGCCATAATCATTACCATGAACATTTGTTTAGGAGTTTCTTTTAGCAAAAACTTCCATATTTATTATTTCACCTGACCGACAGTGGATTTCATTACTATGGCAGCAAAGAAGAGAAGCTAAAGGGGTACTTTTGTTTCTGGGTCCAGGCCCCCAGGGCACATGTTGTGAGTAAATTGTCAAGTCCTGTGAATTTCCTTTTTAAATCTTTAAAAACATTCTCTTTACTTTTCATTTTGGAGAATTTCAGCTTATAAAAAAATTTGGAAAAAAAAGCCCTGGCTCGTGTGGCTCAGTGGACTGAGTGCTGGCCTGCAAACCAAAGGGCTGCCAGTTTGATTCCCAGTCAGGGCACATGCCTGGGTTGTGAGCCAGGTCCCCAGTAGGGGGCACACGAGAGGCAACCACACCTTGATGTTACCCTCCCTCTCTTTCTCTGTCCCTTCCCCTTTCTAACAATAAAGAAATAAATCTTTTAAACAATTTTTGGAAAAGAAAACCTCAAAGAATTCCCATATACCTTTCATCCAGTGTTCCCAAATATTACTTTATATAACCAGAATACATGTATCAAAATTAGGAAATTCATATTGATACAATAACAGTAATTAAGAAACAGACTTTATTCAAGTATGAATTAATTTATAATGATATACAATTTTTACTAAGTAATGGTTTTTCTCACAGTAAAGTTCTCCTGTTAAGTATGGAAACAGTCATTTACAAGTAATTCTCAAAACATTTCCTATGTTTCCTATGTGTAACATTAGCTACGCACCAGATCCCTTTAATCACCATCAAAACCCAACAGGTGTAGGTTGTCACAAAACGGGGCTGTCTAGATCAACCAGCACAGCTAGTAGCTTTGATACAGCCCTAAGATTCTTCTGTGCTTTATTGAAGATTCTCCAAAGGGACAATCATAGAATTTTCAGTCTGCAACAGCCTGAGACCTTTTGGTTCCTGCTTCATAATCAGTTGGATTCCAGTTGTTTTGGGTTGAGGGTTGAGATAATACTGAGCACTGGGCAAAGCATGCATTATGCTTGGGCCAATTGAACAAGCCTTTTTTGAAATGTGTACATAGTGGTTATGTATCTCTGGTATTGCTCAATTATGTACACCCTATAGTGGGAAGAATTCACAATTTATCAAGCCAGAATGAAACCATACGATGACAGCCTTGTTCCGAGAGCTGGAAAGCGGGCCCCTCCCCACTTGCTCCATCCCCTCTCATGGTCGAGCATACCCTGCGATAGGTGCTGGACTTTGATCGTTTTCTGGACGCTCTTTTTCTATTTTTCTTTCTCTTTCTTACTCAAAGATGTGTACCTTTTTCTGGCTCTGTGGAAGAAAGTCAGATGTGGGTTCCAAAGGGTTTTTCCATTGGGTTGTAGATTTCCTAGGAACCAGGTTTTATAGAAATAGTGTATGATTTTTAACAATAGGACTAATTAAGCTATTTGGCAATAATATAAGTTATGCCTTTAGCAGATTATCATGGAGCAAGAAGTACTTCACTCACGTGGAGCTCCTGCAGAAGAGTTCTGTCATTGCCTGGGATTTATCTTATCTGCAACTATTAAAGACTGATGCCTATCAAAGTGTGCCCTCTGCTTCCTGTACTCGCTAAGGGTGGTAGCAATCTTCTCTACCCTAAATAAAAAGATACAGAATACAGAGTGATTAATGGCAAATTTTAATGCCACCTGACACGTATGATCTATCCTTTTCTTTTACCCAGTTTGTCCATAGAGTTAGCAGTCAGCAATTTTAGAGTTCTCTCTTCTTCTAGTGCCTAATTAAATACTCATAATTCCTTGCCCATGGGCTGTGATTAATATGTTTTGAATTTAACTCACCTTCCTGCTGGGTACATTTTCTCTCCTTCTTTCCTCCTCCCTTCTCCCAGTTTAAAGATGCTAGTTTTTCACTGACTATTGGCTTTTATGGAATGAAATATGCCTCTCCATTCATACATTGAAGCCTTAAACCCCAGTACCTCAGAATCTGACTGTATTTGGAGATAAGGCCTTTAAAGAGGTGACTGAGTTAAAATGAGGCCATTAGAATGGGCCCTAATCCAATCTGACCAGTGTCCTTGTGAGATGAGGAGGTTAGGACACCAGGGATGTGTACCACAGAGAAAAGAGCATATGAAGACACAGCCAGAAGGTGACCACCATCCAGGCAAGGGGAGAGGCCTCAAGAGAAACCAACCTGCCACGAGCTGGATCTTGGACTTCCAGCCTCCAAAACTGTGAGAAAATAATTTTCTATTGTTTAAGCCACCCCATCTCTGGTATTTTTGTTATGGCAGACTAATATATTGGGTGAGGCTCTTCTATGAGAGAGGCCTTGTGCCCCACCCCCACCCCTCATAGCCCAGTGCCAATACCCTGAGGATCTGAAGCCAGTAACGAATGAGAATGGCTAGAGCAAAGGGTTTCTACAAAGTCATGTGTCCCAAACTCCATTATTGCTTTTCCCTGTGCTATGGGTTCCCAGATTTAGTTTATACTGCAAATTGTTGCTTCTAAGTGTCCAAATGCGGGTGAGTAAGTATTCTTAGTGGGGCTGGGGAGGTTCACGTTACCATTCTCTAATCAAACAGAACAGAGTGGAGAAGAGGCCAACTTGATCGGAGAGAAGGAATGAGACCAGAATCAGTCTCCCCATCCTAGAAGCCAGGCAAGCGGTCAGTCTGCCAGCGGTGCTTTCTGAAACACGTCAGCAGGCCCTCCAATGTTCCACCATGTCTGCAACCATGAAAGCCAGTTTGCTCCCAAATGTGTTTCCAAGAACAAGCAGGTGCAGTGACAGGAATAGAGAAGGAGGAGGGCATTAAAGGGTCTCACTCCCTGATCAAAAGTGGAAGAACAGATATAGTTATTATTATACGTTGTCTCTGTCTCATTGTCTTATAGATATTGTCCCTGTCTTTCTCTGTCTCTCTCCCTTAAGCATTGTGTATTTTAGTTCCTTTTCAGTTCCTTGGATTGCAAAACTGCATTACTCAGGGTGGGGGAGAAACATTGGGAAACAAGACTTTATAGCCTCACATTCCCAGCTGAGAATGTGATTCAGTTGCTTCACCATTAACCAGACATTTTG